TTCTATTTGTTTTCTCCCCCTCCTTTACTTCTTTTCCTTCTTCTGCGATCTGTCTCCCAGCCTCCCCTTTCTCCTTTTCTTATGGTTAATTCTCATTCCCTCTCCTCCTCATTCTTCTTCATTTATTTTTTCTTGAGCCAGCACAAAGGCTCAGCCGTTTCACCAACACCAACGGCGTGGTGTTGAATTTATTCTTGAGCCAGCACAAGAAGCTCCAATACCAGCGGCCAGCCCTTAATATTGAGGTAGTAATCTGTTTCGATTTTTCTACTTGTATTTTAGGGTTTTGTTTACTTAAAATTTCTGATTTTGTAAGACCTACAATTCCCTAAACTTTTTAGTTTTAATTTTAGTTTTTTAATGCACTGTGTTTATGAGAGTTTGAGAGCTTTTTTTCATAGCATTTGAAGCTTTATTGTTGTAGCTCATTCTCTATAGAATGTTTGGTTTTATTATTTTCCAGTTCTCCTATATATAGAAATAGAAAAGAATCTCATTGACACTCCAGGACACAGCTTTGAGCTATTTCAATTCTCTCTATACTATATGACTATGAGCTCATGAATCTTACTAAATTGTTGTAGCTCATTTTCTATAGAATGATTGGTTTTATTATTTTTCAACATGCAGAATATCAACAACAGACTTTGAATTCCAATTGTGATACAACTTCTACATGGAAAGGGAAAGCTTATTAGTGGAGGATATTGAGCATTTTATGGCATTGATTGTGAATATGCATTGTTATAATGCAAGAATGAGAGTTCAAAGCACACCATAATCAAATATTTAATTCTTGTAACTAGTCGCTTAGTTTGTGTAAAAATGTAACTTACATTGGTAAATATTCTTATAATTGATGTACTTGAATAAACTATGTTGTATAAACAATGTTTTTATTCTTGAATTAATATTCTTATAATGCAAGAAGCCCTTTTTTCTAGCTTACTTAGTTTGGATAATATAAATTCATTAACTTATTAATGAGTATATATTTGGTAAATTTATATGAAATGCCTATACAAATGGTTTTCGTGTGGTTATGAATCGTTTATGTCCTAATTTATATTGTATGTGCATGGTTGAAACATTGTTTGTATGTTCATGTGTACTGAATACGTGTCTATGTCTTTGTTTATATTGTTTGTGCATGGTTAATATATTGCGAATATGCATTAAGTACATTTAGTGTTAATTGAGTACATTTGTTAGATTAACACGTTAATACAGTTGAGTTGGCTAACGAAATGTCGAGTAAGAAGGGGTAATGGACCGAGGTTATGGTGCCGACCTTCACAAAGTCGACAAAATAGGAAAATCGACCTTCGGAGGTCGACCTGCAGGGGGTGTCGGCCAGCATGGGTGCATCGAACAAGAAGAAATCGACTTGCGGGGGACTGACTTCGACCAAGGGGAAGTCGATCAAGTGATTGGGGGCTGACGTCGACCTTAAAAAAGTCGACTTATTAGCATTCTATTAGCCAACTCAGTCATATTAACGTGTTAATCTAACGGGTGTACTCAATTAACACTAAAACATCGAACTTATGTACTTAAAAGAATCAAATGCAATATAGTATACTCTTTACTCTACTTCATACAAAATTAATGAGAAATGAAAAAATTAACTAATAGGAAAATAAAAAATGTAACAATTAACTACTTTTCTAATTCATTAAAAAATGTAACAATTAACTAATTGGAAAAAGAAAAATGTAACAATTAACTACTTTTCTACTTCAATGAAAAATGTAACAATTAACTAATAGTTCAATGAAAAAATGTAACAATTCACTACTTTTCTAGTTGTAATAAGAAATGTAACAATTAACTAATAGGAAAAATGGTAAATGTAAGAACTAACTAAATTTAAGACTTTAATGAGAAATGAAAAAATTAACTAATAGGAAAATGAAAAATGTAACAATTAACTACTTTTCTAATTCAATAAAAAATGTAACAATTAACTAATAGGAAAAAGAAAAATGTAACAATTAACTACTTTTCTACTTCAATAAAAATGTAACAATTAACTAATAGTTCAATGAAAAAATGTAACAATTGACTACTTTTCTAGTTGTAATAAGAAATGTAACAATTAACTAATAGGAAAAATGGTAAATGTAAGAAGTAACTAATTTTAAAGTTTAATGAGAAAATGTAACAATTAACTAATGAACTAATTAACTAATATCAATTAAAGTGTAACTACTAATATTGTTATAATATTGTTTATAGTATATAATATATAAGTAAACTAGAGTAGTACACTTATATTTAATACTTTAATAAATGTACTTAATATATTAATTAGATCATCATTATCATTACCCCAGTGCCGCAAAGGCTCCCACCTATAGTGGGGTAAAGGGGGGGGGGGTCGGATGTACGCAGTCTTACCCCTGTACTAAAGTACAGAGAGACTGTTTCCGGATGACCCATAGTGAAAATCGCGTCAAAAATTGCATGGACTGACTGTTGCTTCATAACAAAGAAGCGCAGACAGTTTAGTGAGCTCATTTGCTTTATTCCATCATATTTCCAAGCCAAAAAATAATGAGTTTTTGGCTCCATTGCAAATGATGGAATTTATAATATGTAATTAATATATTAATTAGATATAATATGTAAATAACAAGTATATAATAAGTAGATATTAAGTAGATAATAAGTTTTTTTTTACTCCTGGGGGTGTCTGGAGGAGGGGGCTGGGGGAGCCTGAAGTAATCTAGGTTGAAACTCACTTCATTGAGTTTCAAACCCGAGATCTCCCGTAAGGGAGAGTGAGTCGTCGACCAGCTGTTCTGGATGACTTCCTCAAAATATGATCATCTTTTTTTTTACTTAAGTAAGATGTTGAATTCACTCCATTGAGTTTCAAACACTTATGTGTCTAGCGGGTTTCGAACTCGAGACCTCCCACTAGGCACAGTAACCTCACAACCAGCTAGGCTGGAATGCTTGGTTATGACTTCACTTCCACTACTAAGAATAGAGAGTAGGAAGAGTTGGAGAATAGGTGTAAGAAAATGTATAGAAAAATAAGAGTATATATAGATTTTTTAACACCCCTACCCCCCCCCCCCCCCCTCCCATCAAACCCCCCAGACTCCCCAGGACCCCTCCCAACGGCTATAGAGCCGCTTGGGAGCTCCCGCAATGGCTATAGAGCCCAAATGATTTCTTTATTTTTTTTTAAATATGTGACCGTTATAGGCCCAGACCGGCCGGGCCGGTCCACCAATCTCTTGACCCGTAGCCCTCTGCGTTTACCACCGGTTCGGGTATTTGGGCCCAGGCCCAGTCACCGGTCCGGGTCAGGCCCATACAGTACAGGGCCGGGGCCGGGTAGCGGGCCGGGTAGGTCCGGTCCATCCCTAGGTTGCGTACACATATTTTTTATGGGAATCAGGAACCGAACCGTTAGTAACAACTAGGAATCAAACAGTTAACAACTAATACCACATTTATAGAAACCGAACTGGATTATAACGGTTTAGTTCCAACCGGTTCTAACGTTCCTGGTTACAAAATCCCACCACTATGAAACAATTTTAATGAGACGAATAAAAAAAGAAACATGGAATGATTTTAAAGGAACGGATGGAAGAAGTAGATTGGAAATCGTTCTGTGCCCACATCTTACATGGAATACACTTATATCTACTATATAAGTGTATTGATATATTCAAGGGAAAAAATCATTTCCAACATCTTACTTAAGAAGTAGATTGGAAATCGTTCTGTGCCGATCTTAATGGACGTAAGATAAGAAATGAGACGTAATAAAAGAGGAACTCCCCCAAAAACATGATAGGTTCATAGAAGAACATGGCAAAAAAATCATTAAAAAAACTCCACCAGAAACCGTCTCAAATTAAACGACGGCGTTCGAACGGAGCATCCTGTTCATTGGGAAGGTATCAAAATGAACGTAATATTATGGGACATAGTAGCCCTTAGCTTCTTAACCTTGAATGTTAATAAAAAAAATATTAAATGAGACTCAAAATAATTAATCTATACAGTAACAATGACCCATTGACCTATACTCAGGCATGCGTAGACATATACCCCCGTCCCCGCAAACAAGTTTCGGGTGAAAATTCACACATATTAAGAAAATAAATTTATTGAGGGGTAGATTTTACTATATAGTACACTGTTGTGATACTGTTTGACATTGTTTGGCACTGTTTTGGTAATGTTTTGGTGTAAATATGTTTGTTAAATAAGGAAAGGTGGAACTTGTTGGGACATCCTGAAAAAGAAAGGTGAAACTTCTTTTTAAGACGGAGGGAGTACATAATGCAATTATTCATACACACACAAACAAACACATATTTATTATATACGGCGTATGTACACATATACATATAAAACACAACTATTTTCAAATTTTTATTTGATTGACTTTCCTATTGAATTCTTAGCTGAAGTTTGGTGAGCGTAAACTAGAATTCATAGGAGAACATACACACAAAAAAATCCATTAAAAAACTCCACCAAGAATTGCCTCAAACGATGGCGTCCGGACGAAGAATCTTGTTCATCGGGCTGGACAGAATCTTCTCCCTATATACGGTATAGATAATTGCTTTTTAAAAGAAAATAAATGTTCTCTCTCATTTTTGGCCAATCGGGATACTTTCACAACTTGCAAAACGCAAAGCACATTCGCCCCAAAAGATAAACATTATTCAACTTAGTTGTGATCCATTTCACATCTTCAATTTAGTTGCAAATTTGCAAGGAAAAATGGACTTTCTTATCGTAGAAGAGATCCTTTTTTATTATAGTATAAAGTTGTTATCCTTTTTATATCGCATGAAGAACATCCAATTCGATTTGATAAACATGTGGTATTGTATATCTACATTACCATTATCTAAATGTAGTCTAATTAATCTATTGAAATTTGACTTAGGACCGGAACCAAACTACAATGAAAATTCAAACATTATTTATGCAATCACACATTTGATTTTCTAACATAAATTTGACAAACATGTTTATTCATTTCACCTTTCAATTTATCTTCCATCTAATGTTTCACCTTTATCTAATTAGCATATAATTTAGTCAAACCTATACTCAATACACGCCTTTGTTAGAAACCACCGCTTCAAGGATGAACCAAGCCTTTATAACTTTATTGCATAAGCCCACTTATACAGTAATCACAATCTACATGTCTTATACATACACCAAACAATTCAAAGGCTTTCAATGACTTATACAGTCTAAGCAACAAGAAACAATTTCGAATCAAGCTGGATGGATTATTCAATTTTGGAGATTAGGATTTGATCTTTGGCCTCTTCACAATCATAACACTGCAATGGGCATGATGGGCACAATAGTCACTTACACTGCCCAGAACAGCCCTGCACAAGAAATCAAAACTTTTTAGCATTTTAGGAAGTGATCTCTATTTTCTCAACTCTTGGATTGGAGCCTAGTCATGAAATTCACACAAACAATCCAGAAGGCTTTATAAGCAGAGCATTAAACAGCCTGACTTCCTACCTGACACTATTTTGCACTCCTATTTAACACGCAAAAATGTATGAATCAAAATAAGTAAAAAAGGAAAATTTGAATTTTTCCCTGGATAAGATTTTCTTTAAAAAAATAGTCATTTCAGCCATAATTTTCAATCATTTCAACACATTTAGCCAGGTATTAACAAACAGGCTTTAGTACCAATATCAAAATAAACTCTGGTGTAATAACTGCTTTAGTCCTCTTTCGGTCCCATTTTAGGTGTTACTGTCAATATAAAGATATTCCAATGCCATACTTTATTCCCTCTTTTTCAAAATAAGTTCCCACCATAACATTCCGTGGGCAGGGAAACAATAACAAACAGCGTATTACTCGGATTTATATTACATTACATTAGGAAAAATTCATTACTCCATTCCTTGAGGGCCCCCAATCCCGACCAGACGGTACGTTGAGAGGTTGTAAATTGGACTATAATCCCAATCTGACAGATAGAGAGTGAGGCTCTGTCCCCCGGTACTTGCAGAGGCCCTATGCATTTTAGCATAGTAACCCATCATTCCAGTTGACGGGATTCGAAACCGGGACCTAACCCTTGTGGCACTCCCTTGCTACCAGTTGAGCTACGCTCAACGGTTCATTACTCCATTCTCCATTCCCTCGTAATCGGCGCAAAATGTTTTTCAAGAAAATTAAGAGGAATGGTGTAAAAGACTAAAAGTTGTAAAATTGAAGAGTAAAACGAGTGAAAAGCTAGTGACAAAAAATGAAAAAGCAAGAAAGAATTAGCGAGACATGAAAGATCGATAAACAGGGAAAGGTTGAAAAAAGAATATGAAAGAGTAAAGGTATTTATGGCTTTGGGGAAAAGACAAGAAAAAAACAAAAGGAAAAAGAACTAGGAAGGAATAATCTCCCCATAATAAAAGTGGAGCAAGTAAAAGGAGGAGAAAAACAAAGTTTTCTTACCGTACTTCCTTTAAAACAGACAGAATGATACTCCCTAATATTTACTTGAGAGTTAATACAATCAAATACTGTTTTGTTTGGGACAGTAATTCAAGTAAAAACATCCTAAAATTAATTTCTCATTTGGATTTGTACGTATTAGTAGAAAATTGATAAAGTATCGTACATGGAGCGATTGAATAATTTAAATACAAACAAATGGTAAACCAATTACTAATAATAGTAGGTACGAAGTAATACTTCTGTCCCATTACCAATTACAATGGATAAGAATCACATATTTTTTGCCCAAAAAGGAAACATGACCATTTTGGAAAAATCCAAAAAATAAAGTAGGACAACAAAAATAGGAGTATTATGTACTCCGTAGTATTTGTAGAATTGTAGGTTACCTATAGCATTTCTAAAAGATATTCTTGAATCACACAAATTAAATTAGAATATATATGATGCAAGTTTGATATAGTAAAATCAGACTGCCATAACCACATGAAGTGCGGTACTCAATTTGAGAAAACTTGTGCTAAGACATTGAATTTCTAAGTATTAAATCTTTTGAAATACTCCGTATGAAATTACGGGTAATATTATGTAGGAAGGAGTATGACCTAAATTGGTTACACATAAATATAACTAATCAATACAAAATTTATCATACATAGTACTTGTATATAATAAAAAAATGCCAAAAAGATAAAAAAAATCTAAATAAGAGTAAAATATAACATAATTCCTCAAATAGCAGTGTTCATTTTTTTCTATAAATAAAAGCAACTTCTTTTAATAGAAGCAATTTGTTTTTTTTTACGGAGTAAAAAATGCAGTTATTAAGCAATAGTTTACCTCTTGATAGCTCCATAACCATGGCTGCCCACCACCAAGATAGAGGCATGGTGTCTCTCTACAGCCTCGCAGAGGACATTTCTGGCATCCCCTTCCACGATCTCTATTACAGGGTCAGAAACCTGATTTCAAATGATCGAATTGCATATAGATCAGTGAGTATATGACTAATTAATTTTTAAATGACAAAAAACAGATTCATATCATATACTCCGTAAAAGTTACCGATTTAGAGGCGCAAATTTCCTTAGCTCTTTCGACAACCCGTGCGGCGATTCTCTTCAAATCCGAATCCACATATGGCAGCACCTCTGCAGCGCCTGCAGATTTACAAATTTTTCATTTTATTTCAGATCATAAGAAACATAATCCAAATACACATATGAGACTAATTTGTGTATTTGTTTCGATAATTAAACGCTCGGAGTTACCGGGACCGGCGAGGCCTACGGCGGAAGCAGGGGAAGGTTTGGCGTGGAGGAGGACGAGCTTGAAAGGAAAGGCGGGTCCGGAGAAGAAATGATCTAAAGTCCAACCCAAAGCATAGAAGCTGTGTTCACTGTCGTCGACGGCAACCACCATCACAGATTTCTCCGCGGCCGCTTCCGTCGTCATTTTGAGCTGATCCGATTACGATGCTTAGCTGCTCGCCGGATGAATCGACAGGATAAGATAAGAGCAATTGTAATGGCGGAGGATCAATGATAATAGTTGAAGAACAATTTATAGTGCAACTGTACAACACGGAACATCAAAGGGTATTCTAGAACAATCAGATTCGCTTTTCGCTGGTAATGGCAGAATGCTTGTGACAGATATGTATGAACAGCTGAAAGGTGGAAACGCATTACTCGGGATTAGTTTGAGAATCGTATGCTATTCTCCTCTTTTGCGTAACAAAATACGGATTTTTTTTCTTCCAATTCTTTTTACCGTGAATAAAGGTATTTTATGTCAAGGGTATACCCGACCATATCTAATAACCCACCGTATAATACGACTAGTCAACCATAGTAACACATTTCATATTATATATGAAAAATTTATTGTAATAATCTCAACTATTGTCAGTCCGCTTAAAATAATCTCAACTATCGATTATCTCAGAATAATCTCAACTTTAGTGACTTTCCGCCAATAATGGTCCGACATGACCGGCTATAAATAAATTCATATAGTTTCTAAAGTGGATGAGAAGAGATATAACAAGTAATCCCTATAAATAATTCAACTTTTAATTTTGACGCTTTATTTCTATTTAAAATCCAGTTGTTATAGCAGGTCATATATGGTCATGGACCATTATTGGCGAAAGGTCACTAAAGTTGGGATTATTCTGAGATAGTCGATAGTTGGGATTATTATAAGCGGACCGCCAATAGTTGGGATTATTACAATCAATTTTTCCTATTATATAAGGCGTCTCGAATATCATTCACAAATAAGTCATCATAAACAAACATAATAAGCAATTTAATAAGCAACAGAAAACATAGTTTGAAAATCAATGCCGCACGTGGCAAAATCACGAATCAAGTCTTCCCTTCTAGATATCACTCGAGCAAACGAGCGCAACCTGAAATGGTGGTGGGATGCCTCCGAAGGGGTCAGTACTCTAAAAGGCTATAAAGTACTGGTGTGGATGACATCTAGTAGATATACAACAAGTATTTCAAACACAAGACCCTCAAATAGGGTGATAATATAATCTAGGCCGTAACCCCAAGTTACCCTTTTCAAAATATACTTACTTTATATAAAGTCAAGTAGTCGACCCGTAGGGCCAAGTTTGTTTACAAAACATCAACCCAATACCCCGTGACTACTAGTCACGACAATTCATAGGGTCCAACCCTAACACATATGTTTGCATTTCTAGAGTCCAACTCAAGTACATCACCATGCAAATCATATGACACAAGTCAATTACTTCACCGTGCATTTCTAGAGTTCTACTCAAGTACATCACAATGAACATCATAGGTTACAACCTCCGATCTCACCATCCATTTCTAGAATCCAACTCAAGTACATCACCATGCATGTCATCAATCATAACCCCTTGTCTACCCATGCACTTCTAGAGTTCTACTCAAATACATCACCGTGTCATGGCATAGACCCAATTCTTAAACAATCTATGCCTAGAATTGACATATCAATAATCTACCTTAAGACATCCTTAAGGACTGCCCATAACATGATCTTAGGTTCATACTAAATCAATTTAGTCACTTGAATCACATTCAAATGCATCACTTACAATCAAATCCTTAGAATCAATTCTTTAACAATTACAAATAATCATTAACTAGTATTTCAATACTATTAAGATTATTCATATCCAATCAAATATTTCATTTGTACATCCCTACATATTTAGAAAATATGTAGCAGCAACTTAAGCATCCAATGTAATACACCAATATTCATCTAAGTATCTACACATTTTATATATGAGCAAAAATGCTCATTTTTCACAATAGTTCATTAATAACTCATTTAATTCCATTTTTATCAATATGATTTCAAATCATTTCCAATTTCATTCCTTATCAAATATGTCAATATTTCATCAATAATCAATCATCATAATCCAGGAAAACATGATTTAGACATTTAGGTAATCTCATTCTCAATCTACAAGTTGTACGCAACTAGATGTCGATCTTCACCCCAAATGAGCTTTAAGCTTTTCCTTCTTGATCCAATTCTCAAAGCCTTGGCCAAAGTAAGTTGAGAACTGGCTCTTTGCTTGGAAACGAGTGTTAGGCAGCCTCTTCAAGGTGCTAGCTCAACTTTGAAACAAAAACGTATTCTGCGAGGTAGCGTTTTCCTTCGATGCTTTGGAGGCCTTAACCTACTCCATTTACTGCAAAACGCACCTCTATGGATTCCTTATCTTGATATCTTTCTGTGAACACCTCACACGCCTTATTTAGATGAGTGTAGCTCGAGATATGGATTAAACAAGCAACTCCACGAACTGGGAAATAACCCTGCGGGCAATTTCTCTATCTTTGCTTCTCTTGGGTTGTGTGGCTCCTTTTCTTTCTTATCTTTTTGGAGTCCGTATGGGGTATTTGTGATAGTGCCTGAGAGTCCTCAATCATGCTAGAAAAACATGTGGTTCAAAAAGAGGAGCATAAGATGTTTGATTGCAATCAAACATGGGGTGGACCTCCATTTTTTGTCTCTTTTGAAATGTTTGAGCTCATGCATTACTATGTCCGTCCCTCCCCTCTCAAGAGAGCTTATTTTTCTTGTCTTTTGCAAACCCCATCACTCGGTAAGTCCGTCCCTCCCATGTTATGATGTCTCGTTTACATTATTTGGAGTCCATAAGACTTGTAAGAAAGACCCAATTGAGTGTAGGAAATTCCTACCAATTATTTGTTGGGTGTGTTTCGGAAAATAAAGAAAATTAATAAAAATAAATTAATTAAATAAAATGACTAAAGAAAAACAGGAAAGGAGATGAAGCAGAATTAGTCAAAGCTCGTGCTACGCAGGATTTCCTTAAAACGTATTTGTTGCCTCCCACGGTGCTAGGAGCGTTGCAACAATCGTTTCCCAGGATACGATGACTACGAACTAATGTTTGAGCACACAAACAAGAGTTCCAGCGAACGAGAACCAAGTATGAACACAGAAGGAATTTTGGGAGTAGCTGGAAGAGTTTTTAGCTCAAGAAAACGTGAGGAAAGTGTTGTGCGTTGTCAAATCGTGTGTTTGTTGCAAAGCACCTGCCAGCTATTTATAGGAGGATTTGTTGTGTGTTAAATGTGGTGTTAATGGACCTGAACGTTGGACATCAATGACCAGTCCGTTGGGCATTGAATCGTCCATAAACTGTCCATTTAACGCAGCATTAAAAGAGAAGAACGTTGGGAATTAATCGTTGTAACGGAAGAAGAGCGCGACAGAAGACCCCAACAGAACTCCCCTTCGAGGGTTTCTGTTCGAGGCCTTCTGTCCGGAGCACTTCTGGGAAAAAATAAACGTTTCGGGAAGAAAATAGACTTCTGGGTCTCTTGAGTGAAAATAGACTTTTGTTTTGATTTGTTTCAAAACAAAAGACCCAATTTTTGGACGGCATTCGTGTAAGTCGCGGTTTTTCTTCTCCGTTTCGGGATTTGATCGGCACCCCCCCCCCCCCTGCGCGTAAGAGAGAGCCTTTCCCTTTAGGAATCTTAACTCCTTAAAAGAGGCTTCCCTTTATAAGGGGGTGAAAATCCCTTGAGTTTTTCGGTGTGGGATAAAACACACTAGAAACTCATCATTTTCCCAGTTTTTCCATTTCAACGAGTGAACTTCGAGAATCAATTTCTCATTCACCCGTTATCCGTTTTGAGCGTACCATATATCGAATTGTAGCCCTTAACAAGGACAATCCGAAACCACTTTGACCCGACCCAAATCGGAAGTGGAGCCCACTCAAATAATTTCCCCAAAATGACCATTTAATGCAATTTTGAACACATTTTTCCAACAATCCCCCACATGAATGAAAATTGATTTTCGAGACTTAAAAAGACACGAAGATAGGAGGACACGTTGTGTTCACCGGATGATCCTTGCATACGGAGAGGTAGGTTTTATCCTTTGAACCTTCCGTTGTAAAGACACGTTTATTTACTGGCTGTCTAGTAGACTCGATGTCCTTGAACTATACTGCCGTCGTGTAAAAATTGACTTATCTTTACACAAGAACCTTCCAACTTTGTTCCGTTCTCATGGGTGTGCCCGTTTTGGCCATGGGTCACCGTCCTGGTTCTGCAAGAGTTTATAAAGAACTGAGCCTTTACAGTTCTCCTTTGAAGCGGCCCTCTTCTCTCTCACATAGGTGATTCTTTCACGAGTATCCCGCATACTCTTCCAATGTTATCGAGTAGATCAAAATTTTAGAATCATTAAAGCAAACGTTTTTTCTAACCTCGTGCGGGAGTCACTGTTTTAACGAGGAGTGGGTAGGAGTCCGGGACCCCCACAGTGACCATCCTTCGCTCTATAATTTAGTTGTCCCTTTTGAACCTAGGACCAACTAGGTTGGGTTTCCACTATAGAACTTTTCAATTCACGGGCTTTAGTCCCATTCCTCGTGACAACTTCTCCAACAATTCTCTATCCAATGCCTTGGTTAGCGGATCCGCTATGTTATCCTTTGACTTCACGTAGTCAACAGTGATAACACCCGTTGTGAGGAGTTGTTTAATGGTGTTATGTCTACGACGAACGTGTCTAGACTTACCATTGTAGAGATTGCTCTGTGCCCTTCCAATTGCCGCTTGACAATCGCAATGTATGCATATTGGAGGGACAGGCTTCTCCCAACTTGGAATATCCTCGAGAAAATGGCGTAGCCATTCAGCCTCTTCAGTGCACTTATCCAAGGCTATTAGCTCAGATTCCATCGTGGATCTAGCTATTAACGTTTGTTTCGAGGATTTCCACGATACGGCTGCACCTCCCAAAGTGAAAACATATCCACTTGTGGACTTAGAGTCCTTTATGTCGGATATCCAACTAGCGTCGCTATACCCTTCAAGTACAGCTGGATATCTTCCATAGTGCAGTCCAAGGTTTTGGGTTTTACGTAAATACCTCAAAACCCGTATTATTGCCTTCCAGTGTTCATCACCGGGGTTGCTAGTATATCTACTTAGCTTACTAACCACAAAGGCAATATCAGGCCTGGTACAACTCATTAGATACATAAAACTTCCAATAATCCTAGCGTATTCTACTTGAGAAATACACTCTCCACGATTTTTGGTAAGATGAGTGTTTTTATCTAAAGGCGTCCTTGCCTCTTGATAATCATCCTTATTAAATTTAGTAAGGATTTTATCAACGTAATGGGATTGGCTTAGCGTTAGACCGTCAGGTCCTCTAATTATTTTAATCCCAAGGATTAAATCGGCCAGCC